GAAGAAATAATCCAGTTTTACACCTTTTTAACTACCCTAGCTCAGTGCTAGGGAATCCTGGAATTGTAGTTTGTTGTGGCACCAGAGCTCTCTGACAGAGAAGGCTAAAATGTCCCAAGATTCCGTAGTACTGAGCCAGGACAGTTACAGCTGGCTCAAACTGGATTATTTCTGCAGTATGTTTTGGACCAGAGAGGATAGTTACTAGGAGGGTTTATATTACCCAGGGGAGGCATTGCATGAGCGAAGGACATAGACACTGTTGGAGTAGTTTCATTGAAAAGCAAAGAGAAAACTCGTTAAAAAGTTTGTGTTCTTTATCTTTCTCTTCTAGGCTACTGAGCCCAGTATTTGTTTTGAGAGGCCACCTGTTAAAAATTCATGGTGTACACAGAGATATTGCGTCCTCCAGGGAGAGCGTGCAGGGACTGACTTCAGCTCTGTGGTTCCACTTATTCCACTACTTGTGATTCTGAAGAACAAGTGAAGTTGAGAGGAAAAGACTAAATGGATCTAAAGACAGCAGTATTTAATGCAGCTCGTGATGGCAAGCTGCGGCTCCTCACCAAATTGCTGGCAAATAAAAGTAAAGAAGAAGTGGCCTTGCTGATGTCAGAAAAAACAAATGGAGCCACGCCTCTTCTCATGGCAGCTCGCTATGGGCACCTGGACATGGTGGAACATCTGCTGGAGCACTGCAGTGCTTCAATAGAAGTTGGTGGTTCTGTAAATTTTGATGGTGAGACTATTGAAGGTGCACCACCATTATGGGCAGCATCAGCTGCTGGCCATTTAAAGGTGGTCCAGTCTCTACTGAATCATGGCGCATCTGTTAACAATACAACTTTGACAAATTCAACACCTCTTAGAGCTGCCTGTTTTGATGGTCACCTAGAAATTGTGAAGTATCTTGTGGAGCATAAAGCTGACTTGGAAGTATCAAACCGCCATGGGCATACGTGCCTTATGATATCCTGTTACAAAGGACATAAAGAAATTGCTCAGTATTTGCTTGAAAAAGGAGCTGATGTAAACAGAAAAAGTGTCAAGGGTGAGTTTAGCATCAATTTTCATCAACATGAAAATATTTTTAGTTCTCCTAAGAATGTCTTCTAGTTTGACATCTAAGAGCAAGTTTAACCAGGTCTTGGTTGTCTTTACTTTGATGTTTTGTTTTGTGTGTGTGTGTGTAATGGAAGTTGCAGATCGCAGTTGTGAATATGTAGCTCTGTAGTACAAATCCATTTGGTAAAATTAGCACAATACCGAAATTCTAATATTTTTAATCATTAAGTGAAAGAAAGACTACAAATAGAAATAATGTTGTCCTGGCTTTTTTTAAAAACATATCACCACTCATCATTTAATTAAAATTAAATGCTTAGTTTGCTTTAAGGAAATCAGTTAGTATATACCTCTGATTAGAATAAAAAACAAAAGGACAAAATTATTACTGTTACAACAAATGCCTCCTTGTTATGGTTAATACAACACTATTATTCAGCAAAGGATACTGTAGATTAAACTGTGATGGTAGTTGCTTTACCTTATCCTTTTGTTCCAGTTGTAGATGTGCTGTTCTTTTTCAGTTACACCTTTTCCTCATCTTTTACAATTACTAGTTTGATAGGTATGTCCACTGTTTCAGGTAGCCACCAATAAGAGTCTTCCCACCCTGCCTCTGTCTCAGCTAAATCTGACTTGACTTTGTCAGCCTAAAATTATTAGCTATAATAATTTGGAGTGATTTAAGTATGCTTTTAACTCATATTAAAATCACTGGGATTTAGAAATGTTTTGTCTGGATCGTGCCCATTGTGTAATAAGGTGTTGTATGATCATGTGTGAGCTTAGTACATGACTGAGCACACAAATCTGGAAGTTTGATTTCGTATGGTAATCTCTCACTTAAACAGAATCTAGTAAAGGGATAACCATAATGACCTACCTTACAAGACACTTGCATGAAATACTTGGATTATTTCCAAAGCACTATAGAAATTCTAAGCATGTTGTTTTGTTGACAGACTTGCTCATGTCCTGTGAACTTCCAGTGTTGTATGTATTCACTGTGTTTATGAATGACTCATAAGTGAAACAGACATTCTGCCCTTAATAGCAATGAGAATGGAATTTTATTTTTGTTAGCAGTGGTGTGTTGCTAATGCTGACATTTGACAGCAAACTCAACTTTCTTCTGTTCTGTTGTGCTGAATTCTCAATGTCATTTTAGTACAGCCACTGAAAATTAATATAGCCACGATTATTTTTACTAGTAAAGCACTTGGATTTTTGAAGTCATGAAGGCAGGAACACATGTTTTTTTCTCTCAGTCATTGAAAGGTTGGGGAGTTGTTTGTTCTTGGCTACAAACATTTTCCCTTTTTTCTGACCTGCAGGAGTAACTGCATCAACAGATATCAATTGATCCATTCTTTGTATCGATTTTGTATTGCCTCTAGCTAAATTGGGCACTTTTAGAGTGACGCTTTAGTGCTTGTGACTCCCAGTTATGGCAGTAGTTATATTCAGTACTGTGTTTACTTTGATTGAATGGGAGCATTTTATAAGATCCCAATTTCACCTTCCAAAACTTTTTAATAGGTTTTAAGTGGTTCCTATAATGGGGCCCGTTGGATTGTAAGAAGTGTGATCTGCCCTTTTTGTAATAAAAAATAGTTACTGTATTTTCCGCTGTATAAGACGACTGGGCGTATAAGACGACCCCCCACTTTTCCAGTTAAAATATAGAGTTTGGGAAGAGTATGACGTCCAAAACTGTTGTTGTTGTTGCTGTGCACCTTCAAGTCATTTCCAACTGATGATGACACTAAGGCAAATCTATCATGAACCTCCTTATACCCGGCGTATAAGACGACCCCCCCACTTTAACCCCAGATTTTGCAGGTTAAAAAGTGGTCTTATACGCCAGAAAATAAGGTACCTTTCTTCATTAACAATGCAATCAGGAATAGGACTACTCAAAGTAAGCCCTGTTGAGTTCAGTGGGACTTACTGACAAGTAAGTATGTAAAGGATTTCAGTCTGAGGCTGCATCCGCACTGCAGAAATAATCCAGGTTGACACCACTTTTAACTATCATGGTTCAATGCTATGGAATTCTGGGAGTTGTAGTTTGTTGTGACAGAGAAGGCTAAATGTCTCACAAAACTACAAATCTCAGAATTCCCTAGCACTGAGCCATGGCAGTTAACGTGGTGTCAAACTGGATTATTTCTGCAGTGTGGATGCAGCCTAAATCGCTTTCTACATCAGTGAGCTTCAACAGACTGAAAATTTTAGGAGAAAATAATGATGATTGATTCAGCAGATACCATAACTTTCATTAAATTCCCGGGAAGCCCTTTTTATTTAATGCTTGCAGGGAAGCATTTTCTTAATTCATATGTCTCCTTCTATGGTAATAATAAGAGGTCCAGCTGCTTGTGACAAAGTGATCTTTTAAAAATCTTTTGTTTCCCCTTGCTGAAGTTATGACCATATCTTATTTAACCACGTTTGTACAGAGAGATATTTAAAAAAAATTCATGCTTTAGCTATCTTTAGTCTTTCAGCACTTAACATTAGTACTATAAGATCTTTGTTTGGCAAATTTTCATTTTCATTTTTGAATATAGAAATTAATAATAATACCCCTCTGAAGTGGACTTTTTGGGCCAACATTTGACTTATCCAACCTAATACATCCTCCCAGAACTAATACATATTATTCCAGTTGCCTATCTTACCAGATTTTGCTTTGATTGATCTTGATGGAAGTTGTAGTCCAACACATCTGGAAGGTGTATGTTGAGGAAAGATGACCTAAGTCCAAAACACACTGCATAAAACAATCCAGTTTGAGGCCCCGTTAACTGCCCTGGTTCAATGCTAGGGAATTCTGGGATGTATAGTTTTGTGAGGCATTTAGCCACTTCTGTCAGAGCACTAGTGCCACAATAAACTACAATTCCCAGGATTCCCTAGCTCTGAGCCAGGGCAGTTAAAGCACTCTCAAACTGGATTATTTCTGCAGTGTGTTTTAGACCTTAGAAGATTGTGCTGGGAAATATGTGGAGGACCAAGCTTGATCAGTATGCTGCTCTCGGGCTTAAACCTACTTTTAAAATAATAGGCTTCTTATATTAGGTTTTAATGTTTTTAGTATCACAGTTGGTGTTACATTTATTTACATGCCTAATTATAAAAAATAAGAACTTAATAATTGTGCACATAACCTTGTATAGTGTGTGAGAGTGAGTAAGCTCAAAGATATTTTAGAGCTTAGCAGAAGAACCATGTGAATCTTGTCCTCATTAATGATATTTTTAATATATAAACCTGCCATCCTTATGGTTTATTATTATGAATTGACTTTTGAGTCTACCCACAGCAATATATTCACTTCAATATGTGTAACTGCTGCATAAAATGCAGCCAACAGCAGCATTACATTGGGATCATATCTATTCCCAATTTTGGGGAAGTATTTTAAACCAGTTAAACACTTCATTCAATGTGGTAGGATCCAGATTTTTCCACAAAATTAGGACAGTCTAAAACAGGGGTAGGCAACCTTTCCCCTTTAAAGGCCGAGGGACTTCAGCTCCCAGAATCCCAGGAGCTATTGGCCAACATGGCTGAGGCTTCTGGGAGCTGAAGTCCCTCTGCCCTTAAAGGGGAAAGGTTGCCTACCCCTGCTTTAAATCCTTTGTTACATGACCCTAAGTTTTACGTTCGACTTATCCATGAGGTCGACTTATAATTGAGTATATATGGCAGTCTAATTGTATCCATTTTTCCTTTGAGATCTCCATATATTTACTGTAACTTATTGGCTGATGTTACCTGTGTGTGTGGTGTATCATCATGTTGTTTCTGACCTGTAGTGATGCTAAGGCCATGGGGTTTTCTTGGCAAGATTGTTCAGAGGAGGTTTGCCTTTGCCTTCCTCGGGCTGAGAGGGTGTGACTTTCCCAAGATCACCCACTGGGTTTCCATGGCTGAGCAGGGATTTGAACCCTGGTCTCCAGAGTTATTGTCAAGTGCTCAAACCATTGCACCACACTGGCTCTTTCACAATATTGTGTGTAAATGTAGTACCCAAGTGAAAGTGTAGTCTGACCATAAGATTATGGGTTAAATCTTTCACAGTGCAATCATAAGTATGTCCGCTTTCAGTGGACTTACTGCTAGGTAACTGCACAGGATAACAGCCTAAATAATTAAGATATGAGTTATAGTGGTTCAGCTAGGGCATGATTAACCCATAAATCATCATTTTCATAAAGTTATAATCAAGCTAGTATAACATCTGTAATCCAGAGACCAACAAACATGTAGTCAGAAATGTATAGTCTTTCTGATGTTAGTAAAATAAATTTTTAACAAAGAAAAAAATAAGAGAGTGATTGGTTTAAATGGCATTAACTACAAGGAGGGCTATTGCACACTATCCTTTTTAAATCCTGCTTTGTGCACAGTTATAAATAGCAGCAAATACTTGGTGGCTGTTTTCAAATAAAGAATAAAGACAAGTAAATGCTTGCAAGAAGGATAAATTTCTTGTTGTCGTGGCTTGTAGACTGGGTAGACAGTCTTCTTGTTAGTGTAGGCTAGCTACCATTTTAGAGAGGCAAGATGTATTGGTGAACTGCGCTATGTTTTAGACTGTCCTAATTTTGTGGGAAGATCTGGATCCTACCACATTGAATGAAGTGTTTAACTGGTTTACAATACTTCCCCAAAGTTGGGAGTAGATATGATCCCAATGTAATGCTGTTGTTGGCTGCATTTTATGCAGCAGTTACACATGTTGTGGCTGTTGAAGGATATTGCGTTAGTGAGCCCCTTGCATTTGGATGTGGTTCAAATGGGGCTAAATTCAATAATTCTCTGGTATTTAAATTACAGAGATCACAGACAATTTCCTAATTCTACTTCCTTTCCTTAAATTATTCCATTTTGTGCTTCCTTTCCTTAACTTTTCTACCTTCTTGAATGCCTTCTCATGAATGTTTGCTTTTTCACCCTGTCTCTGTCACACACCACCTTGATATGATATGAGCAATTTCCTAGATTTTTTAAATTCCTTTGTAGAAGCAGCTCTATTCATAAACATTCTTGGGTTGAAAGCTTTCCAGTAGTTCGAATGTGACAATATTCTGACATCATAGCAATTCATCTACTGGTGATAGGATGAGCCAGGCAGGCAACAACCTGTTGGAAAGAGAGTTGCTATTTATATAGGGGTAAATCCAGTTGTTAATATCAATTAGAGTATACTCATTGAATGAATGGATTTGCATAATTATTGAATGAAGTTATTTATTCAGTGGCTTGGCTATAGTTGGAGGTAATAATTAATTTTAGCCCATAAGGCAGGAGTGGTAGTTATGTGACCCTCCACATATTGGATTGCAAGGCCTAAGAGCCATAGCCAGCATAGCCAATGGCTAGGAATGCTGGTAGTTGTAGTTCAGTAACATTGGAAAGGCTGTGTGATTCCCATTCCTATCATAAAATTTCATTGTAAAATCATTTTGATGCTCCAAAAAGGCTACATATTAAGAAGTATACCAGGGGTCACCATAGGGGAGCAGAGAAGCATTAGACTAAAATGGCCATAGAGTAAGCTCCATTGAAGACAGCAGGATTTCTTTCTTAGGTCCAAAACACACTGCAGAAATCATCCAGTTTGAGACCACTTTAACTGCCCTGGCTCAATGGTAGATTTTTCTGAGATGTGCAATTTTATGAGACATTTAGCCTTCTCTGTTAGAGAGCTCTGGTGCCACAACAAACTACAATTCCCAGGATTCCCTAGCACTGAGCCAGGACAGTAAAGATAGTCTAAAACTGGATGATTTCTGCAGTGTGTTTTGGACCATTGTAAACATAAATAGTGTGGTGCAGTGTGTCGCTGCGATAATTTGCTGTATGTGGGCATTCACTAGTTGCCTTGTTTGCAAGTAAGTACCCAAATTTGCCCTTTCAATTAGCAGACCAATATACTTGCCTGTTGATGGATGTACTTATATCTGCCCATGAGTGCAGGTCCCATTTTGCAGTTTGGAAGGAATAAACGCACCTACTTTTAAAAGATAGATAATTGCATTCGAGCTGCTTGGAAATTAAAAGGCAATATATGAATTTATCAGAAATAGCTAAGCATCTTGACTGTTTGTTTCAGTAACCTAATTAGAAACATATGCATTGTGGTTTGATTTGCCATTTGAAGTGACAGGTCAGGGTAGTTAACCTACAATCTGATCTGCTTGCTAATCAGTGCCCAAGCCCATCATGTCAAATGTTATGCTTGAATACCTTTCTGCCAGAGGATCCAATTGCTAATAAATGCCCTTTGACACTACACAGAAAGGTTTTTCCATGCAGGCATTTATTTATCTTTTTTTATTTAGATAGTTTTTCCCCCAAACTCTTGGCATCTGTTGGCTGCAGACGTGCAAGGAGCACTGAGGACTTGTCATTTCCTGACTGCAGAGCTGTCAGTCCCTGTACTGTTCATGTGAAATTTACTGGATTCTACTTTCAGGCTTGAACTTTTATTGGGGTAGGAGTTTGCTACAGAAGTGTGGGCCACCATGGGTTAATGGAGTTATCCTGGAGAGACTTGATTGTTGGCTTACAGAAGAAAGTTAGACTTCAACAGAATGAAAAATTAGAAATAATTATTTAAAACATAACGCTAGTGTTTAGCACAATAAAATCAAGCTGAAGCTCTGTCACAGTACACCTTTTTGTTTCCCAGAGGAGGATTGGCATTACTTACTTACTCTTAAAATGTATATGGCATACCCTTCCTTGATATCCCCAAAGTTATTTTCTTGTGTTCACTTTATTCTGGCCTCACTGGTTGTAGAGGCAAATAATGTTAAATGTCCTAACAGAAAGGACTGTTTTTTATCTCCATCCAGAGCCACTTGCTTAGGCACAATTAATGCTTTCAACACAGCTGGGTGAGTGGTTAAAAATGTGTATCAGGAGACTGTGGAAGAATGCTTTACAGGAAGATTTCCAATAGAACAGCTGCATTAGGAAATTCTAATGAAAGGCTGTTATCTTTTTGAGCTGGCAAATATAAAAGCCCAAATATTCAAGGCCAATTATTTTCCTTAAATGCAAGCATGAAGATTATTCAAATGACTAAAAATGTAAGCTGCCCTTCTGACATGTTATTGATGTAAATTAAAATACAACCTTTGAATATTGCTCCACTTACAAAATATCTGCTTATGCTGTGTGGCTTTATCATCCTCATTATTTCAGAAGTTAGCTTACTAGATAATTTATATGACATTTTTATAGGCTTTTTTAGTAGGTGTTTAAAGTAGGCGTAATCGTGCTCTGAAAATGTATCAAAGCATTGTATGCATGATCATTGGTTTCTTTTCTCCCCTCCCCCCCCTCTACAGGAAACACAGCATTGCATGATTGTGCAGAATCTGGTAGTTTGGAAATTATGAAGATGCTTCTCAAATACTGTGCAAAGATGGAAAAAGATGGTTATGGAATGACTCCTCTTCTTTCAGCAAGTGTCACAGGCCACACAAACATTGTTGACTTTTTGACTCAACATGTGGAGACAAGCAAAGCAGAACGCATCAATGCACTGGAACTCCTAGGAGCCACATTTGTGGACAAAAAGAGAGATTTGCTTGGAGCTTTGAAATACTGGAAAAGAGCCATGGATATGAGGTACAGTGATAGGACTAACATCCTCAGCAAGCCCGTGCCTCAAGCATTAATCATGGCTTATGATTATGCCAAGGAAGTGAACAGTGCTGAAGAGTTAGAAAACCTAATTGCAGACCCTGATGAGATGAGAATGCAAGCATTGTTAATTAGAGAACGTATTCTTGGTCCTTCTCACCCAGATACATCTTACTATATTCGCTACAGAGGTGCTGTCTATGCAGACTCTGGCAACTTCAAACGATGCATCAATCTGTGGAAGTATGCTCTGGACATGCAGCAGAGCAATTTGGACCCCCTGAGCCCTATGACTGCAAGCAGTCTTTTGTCATTTGCTGAACTCTTCTCCTTCATGCTTCAAGATAGGGCAAAAGGCTTGTTGGGTACAACCGTTACTTTTGATGATCTTATGGGTATACTGTGTAAAAGTGTTCTTGAAATAGAACGTGCCATCAAACATACTCAGTGTCCACCTGATCAAATACAACTCCACAAAGCCCTTTCCATCATCTTGCATTTAATTTGCTTGCTGGAAAAAGTTCCTTGTAGTCCGGAGCAAGATCATTTTAAGAAACAGACTATATATCGATTTCTTAAGCTACAGCCTAAGGGAAAGAATAACTTTAGCCCACTCCACCTTGCTGTTGACAAGAATACCACATGTGTTGGGCGCTATCCAGTTTGTAAATTTCCTTCTTTGCAAGTTACTGCTACTTTAGTGGAATGTGGTGCTGATGTAAATGCTAGAGACTCAGATGACAACAGCCCTTTACACATATCTGCACTGAACAACCATCCTGATATCATGAATCTTCTTATCAAATCAGGTTCACATTTTGATGCAACAAACTTGCATAAGCAAACTGCTATTGACTTGCTGGATGAAAAGGAAATGGCAAAGAACTTGATCCAACCCATCAACCATACCACACTGCAGTGTCTTGCTGCCCGTGTAATTGTGAATCATTGCATAGGTTACCAAGGGCACATCCCAGAAAAACTTGAAAACTTTGTTTTGCTCCATAGATGATAGTAGGCTCTTCTTAATGTGGGAGCATGTGTTAGAACTTTAACTGTGGCTTTCTCAAGCACTGTTGTGATATGCCAGCGATACACCATCACTCATTCAGCTTAGTCCATCCTGCTCTTTAGCTAAGGCATCTTTAGACTCAGATCTGCAGAACTGGTTGCCTAGTATTTAAAACAAGCATACCATATAATATATTTTGTGGATTATTTAGAAATGTAATATTATATTTGGACTCACTAAAATTGTCTGCCAAAGGCTTGTCTACTCTGGTTTAGTTTGCCTGATGGTTGTTTGGGATTGAACTGAATAATTTTTGTGGTATTGTCT